GCTGGAGTCACATACCCTTTCACACAGACCCATGGCGGTGGTCACCTCTCACCATTAACCCGCTCATCACCCCACCAAGGTTGACTTTCCCCGAGCAGCAAACTCATCTACCTGAAACCTGTCAGAGAAAGGCATTGTATGAAGTCATACTGCTCAGTGTTGGTACTGAAATATGCCTTGAAGATTCGCCATCTAAATTTGATTTCCTGATGAGAAAGCATGTTATTTTTTCATTTTAGTGTTGATCCAAGCAGCAAAAACTAAATAATCACCTAGATTCATGTCTGATTTTGTATCTTGTTTTTAATGATTCTTAAATACCTTTGCCACCTTGCAAACAAATCCGTGTGTGGGCATCTGTCCCTCATGTGGTCCACGCCCCTCCTGTCATCTGCTTCTCTTTCCCCTCCATCCCTCTCCCCCTTGCTCCCTCCACCTCGCTGCCATCTCCTTTCGGCATCTGCCTTCTCCCTGGGTCTCTGCCATCCTTTCTGGTTTCCGGCTTGCAATCTCCTGACAGAGGAGTTGGTCCTCCATGACGTCCTCCCCGGGTTTAGGAGAGGACCCTCACAACCCCGGGAGAATGCACTTGCTGTCCTGACCTCCCTGAGCGCTTTAACAAAGCAAGACACCCGGGAGGCCTAGAGTGGCAGGCTTTGTGCAGGTCCCTAACAGCCTATGGACATTCGAATATTCCATTCTTTCCCTCCTTCATTTCTTTCTTTCCCTGTTTGTTTGTTTGTTTGTTTGCTTTTCTTCCTTCCTCCCTCCCTCTTTCCTTCTTTCTCTTTCTTTGTGTCCTTCTTTTTCTTCTCTTTCTCTCTCATGGAGAAAATGTCCTATGAAAGACACGTTGGATATTGAATTTCACAACTCCTGGTTATACCATGCCCTTCTGACCCTGTGTAGTCACTTAAACTCCTAATGTCCTTCTATTCTGCATTTCCCTTTTGCAGAGCGCACTGCCCCAAGGATGCTGCTCTATTCACAAGCTCATTTTTTCACAGGCCAGGGAAGTCTAGAATGTCTATGGGGCCACAGAAAAAGTGATAGCTTTGACAGGACTGGCCATGTTCTCCCTTCAGCCATAGATACTGCAGAAAACACTGCACACAGGCATAAGACATTCTTTTGGAACTGCATGTTGAATATCTTCCATATAATTATAATGTGTTCCCACTATTTCTAAGGAATGAGTTCTAACACATGGGCTGATCTGTGTTTGAGCCTGCCACCCTAGGGAGAAACATCTTTACTGGAAGAATAACGATCAACCTGTCTCACCAGACACCCATGATATATGAAAGTGAATTTCTTTGTTGAGGAGAAACAGCTCAGGCACCTGGACCAGCCAGTGTGCTCACAGGGGAAGTGCTGCTCAGCTGCAGTGCTGGGCACACCCCGAACACATGCACAGTGGGAGTGAATCCTGCAAGCATGGTGTGGAACTGCACGCGCCAGCCACAGAGCAGTGTGCCCAGGGTGGTTCCATTAGCAAGGAGTTCAGCACTTGCAAAAGCTAACATCTAATCCTGGGTAGGAGTCAGGATAGCAGGAGTCCTAGGCAGAGGGGATCGAATGTGGAAGAGGGGGGAACGAGGAGGGTGGCCTGGAGGCTTGCTGGCTAGTGCTGTTTATATCTAGATGCTAGTCACATAGTGGTGTTCATTTTGTGAAAATTCACTAGGCTGCATCCTGTTCTCTGTGTGTTTGCCTTAATTTGAACAACAACAAAAGATGTAATAACCAAAATCTGAATATTTCCTAAACGTGGCAGTTTGCCAGCACTGACTGGGGGGCTACAGAGAAGAGGGGGACACTGACTTCAAGAACACTCTGCAGTTACTATTCTGTCACTAGCCCTTGCCCCAGACCCTTGGTTTTCATCATAACTTGCTCAGCCCACTTGGAGCACCTGACCCTGGACACAGCTAACAGTGATCATGCCTCATCTTCCAGACTTGAGGTTACTTCGAAGACATTGCAAAAACATCTGCTCTCAACATTTCCATGCCTTGAGGAGGTGACCTGTGTAAAGAAAGCCAAGGCTGCCTGCTTCCCCTGGCCAACGAGATATGTTTTTGCAAAGAAAACCTTCCTCTATAATGTTCCAAGTTAGTCGAAGCAGATCGTCCTCTCTGAGAGTTGCCATCAAGGCATACATGTGACTTTACTTAACTTTAAAAATATTTACTTATTTGTAAGACACAGAGAGAGAGATCTTCCATTAGTTACTTCACTACTCAGATGGTCACAACAGACAGAGCTGAGTCGATCTGAAGTCCGAGTCAGGAACTGAGAGCTGCTACTGAGTCTCCCACAAGGGCCCAAGCACTTGGGCCATCCTCTACTGCTTTTCCAGGCTCATTAGCAGGGAACTGGATCAGAAGTGGAGCAACTGGGACTTGAACCATTGCCCATATTGGATGCCAGAACTATGGGCTGTGGCTTAACCCACGATACTGCAGTGCCAGAAATGAATTTAGTTGGCTTGTTCTGTCTTTGTGGCAGTGCTCTGGCAGGAAAAGTGTCTCCAATATTTCCTCCTTTCCTTTTATTTATATTTTTAACTCTGATTTCTCTTCTCATTACAACCTCCAGGCTTTATTGTCCCCTTAAAAGAACTCAACTTTGTGAACTAATGATGACAAATGTTGGTATAACATCTGCTCCCAGATTTAAATTGCCTCCTAGTCTGGCAGAGTTCATCTTGAAGGCAGGTTTGTCGTAAACATCAGTCTGAACGTTCCTGTAATCCAAAGGGTTCCCGAGGTGGAAGCCGCCCGCGAGCCCCCAATAGGCTACCCATGCCATGGGTCTCGCTTCGTCCTCCCTGTCAGCTGTTCAGGAGTGGCATATCTGTGCACACATGGGCAAGCTCCTTCTCTGCTTTATTCTAAATCATTCTGCACTGAATTTTCCCAAAGTCTGCAGGTGTGTGCCTGCATTCCTCTGCAAGCCTTGGCTGGTTAGGGGAAGCCTGCAGTATTTACTGGTCCCCATGTCTCGGGGGATTCACGACCCATTAGAGTTGCTATCCTCGGGGTCCCATCCTCCGGAAAAGCTGAAGTGCAAGTTTTGCTTTGCTTCCCTGATATTAGCAAACACTGGGATGAAGAGCTTCATCTGTCAGTGGTTGGCTTCGGCACCTGATTAACCTCAGTCCTTTTCTGAGAGGTTGTCCCAGCACCACTGGATCAGAAGCATGTTGAACTGGGAAAACCAAGGCTGGTGGACACTTCCAAATCTTCCTTCTTGAATGGTCTCTCAGCAACAGCTTCCTTGCTGAGAGATAGATACAGCATGAAGACCAGTTCTGGACAGGGCTGGATGCTCACATAACCTTTGCTAACTTCAGAAACTTGTGGACAGTATGCAGGCTTCTATTATCTTGCCGTGGCAAGGTTACATTTGGTTCAGCACTTGTCAGATCGTACAGTAAGAGAACATACGGTAGGTGGCGCATCAGTTTCCTTGCATAAAGTGTAAGGAATTAAATATTGGAAGGCTTGTTTGGAACCTGTTAAACAGTGTTGTGATTAGTAATCCTTGTTATGTTTGAGAAACCAACTAACACATTATCCCTAGGCAGGGTGTCTCATCCCAGGAGTTAATTTCAGGTTGGCATTTGATAGAAGTAGCTGAATCCTACTTTCTCCTAGGCCAGGTCTCTTGGCTGTGGACTTTTGGTACCAGAAATTCTCTGTTCCTGGGACTTTTCTGGGCCTGCTGGGCATTGACAACAGTCCTGGCTTCCACCCATCTGGCATGTCAAAATGCCTCCATGCATGGCAGGAATAGCATCTCCCTAGTTGGGCACCTCGGTTCTCCATCACACATCATACTGCTTAGACAATTTTTGCTGTTGTTACTCGAAAGTCCCAAATTATTATGTTTAGTTTTTAACTTTGCACCAGGATGTTTAAATTGTTTAAGCAAACAGAGAGTAATAAATGTTTAACCCCTTTCCTCCATGCCACTTTCTATTGTATGTGAGGTTTTCATGACCTAAAATAGATGAGCCATTCTTACATGACCTCTCCTTGAATGCATCCCTCCATCACCTGCATTTTTGGTCTCCAATGCTTCATATCCTAGTCTCAGATCAGCTTGGCTGCCCCAGTGCTAGGAAAGGTGGACACTGCGATCTATTTTGCAGGAGATCCAGAGTGGTTCATCCCAATAGGACTTTCTTACTATTGATGATAATGGGATTTTGCAAAGTTATCTGTTATTATCAGTAGTTGGGACTACTCCTCCCATTTTTTTAAATTATTATTATTAAAACAAAGCAGACAGACAGGGAGATCCGCACTCTGCTCTTCATTGCCCAGGTGCCCACAATATCTAGTAATGGACCTGGCAGAAGCCAGGAACACAGAACTTGAGCTGAGTCTTTACCTTGGGTGGCAGGGACCCAACTAGCTGAGCCAGCACTGTCTGCCTCCCAAGATGTGCGTTAACAGGAAGCTGGGATGGGAAATGGAGCCAGGATTCAAACCCAGACCCTCGACTATAGGACGTGAGCGTCCCTCACTGAGTGCCTACTCCTTTCCCTTTATTTTGTAAGATTTAGAGTAGACACTGTCCAGTAAGCATCATGTTTGATGGCCTTTCTGTTCCTTTTCAGTATCTTTCTGTTTCATGAATAAATAGAAGAGAAATCCACTTGTTTTCCACCCTACTCTTATCCAAGTGACATGGTTGCTGAAAAGCAGCCCCCCTGGGCCCGGCACCATGCCATTTCTCTGGGCACTGTCTACACAAAGCCTGGAGACAGCATTGCTGTGAATCGCAAAATCTGCCCAAGTCTTCTCATGTTTCCTGTGGTTGGCTTGGTGATGCCAGTGCCATCAAGGACATTATCGGGTGCAGCTTTTACTGGCGGGGACATTTCCTGTCCAGGTGGCCACTGAGGCTGCCTGGGGACATTCCTCCCCTCCTTGCCTCCACCCGGCAATATCTCGACTTACCTTATCCTCATCCTTGTATCTCCCCAGAAATACCTCAGGGACTTTTTCAGCGTGATGCTGCAGTCGGCGACATCTCCTCTGCACATCGACAAGGTGGGACTGACCCTCTCCAAACACAGCATTTGCGAGTTCTCGCCGTTCTTCAAGAAAGGAGTCTTCGACTACAGCAGCCACGGGACGGGGTAGCGCCAAGGGTGACGGTGGATCCGCCAACACAGTGCCTTCTTGTCAACGCGGTCAGATGCCAGGTGGCCTCCTTCTGCCAAGGCAGGCTCTCAGCAGCCAGTTGGATCACCTCACATTTTCCTACCTAGTGCCTGAGTCTGGGAACATGGGCGGGTTGGGTGGGAGGGCATTGCCTGCTGCTGCTGCTCACCTGGACAGGTGGCTGTCACTGTTCCATTGCAGGCGAATGTGGCCTTTTCCCTGTGCTTCCTTCTCTCTGCTCAGCAGAGTCCATCCCCCATGGTGAGATGGATGTGGCTTGATGTTCTCAGGCTGCCCAAGCCAAGCCGACCTGGGACCTCCCGAAGTGGGTGGCTACCAGACCACCCTTAAATGACTTTCATCTGGTTTCTTCTTTCACCAAAATACCCTCCGAGATTTCTTTTTTATATTCCTACCATGTGGCTGGCTATATCCCAAGAAAAGCATTCTAAAATATTTCACTCTACTTTTTTTCCCCCTCATTTGAATCAAAACTTTTCTATAATGCCTAAACACTGATGTTTACACAGAATTTTATATTCTGCAAGAGGAATTTTTTTGAGCCAATCATGACTAAAGTCTTCCATGCTTGACAAATTGGATGTAAGTGGCATCACTTAAAACTTGTATAAATCCCTACAAATAGGACGTTCATTTAGCCTTGACTGTTCGAGGACATTTTTCCCAAATCGAAGTAGCTACTGTGTATCCCCAAGCTTTTTCTGCTAAGCACAAAACAAGCGCAAAGCTGAATGCATCTTTTTAAATGCGGTTTTGTTCACATGTTTGTTACAGAATTTGCTGGATCTTCAGCTGAAAAACTAGAATTCACCATAGGTTATTAATGATCCCTTGAATTACTCAGGACTTAATGTAGCTTTGCACATCTATGTACAGTAAAACTGCTTTGTTTTTACTAAAAAAGAAAAATGTAAGTAGGAAACATATATGTGTCATATATTAAACTGTATATAATTATCTATCTATAGATTTATATATGTATACACTCCTGTACAATAGCTGTATCAAAATGTATCATCATTCCCACCAAATTTGCTAAAGGTGTTTGCTTTTACAAAATCTGAATAGAGCTGATATCAATATTAAATGAAGTTATGAGAACCTACACTCCAGCGGAGTAGAAGTTTGTAACATGGTTATTCCTGCTGATCTGTTTTAAAAATTGATCTACTGCACTTGGAAGGATACACAATGTATAATTTAGCATTTGTGTTGTGGAAAAAAAAGCAGTGAGAGTAATGAGTGAGGTGACAAATAAAGAGTTACCTGAATATGTGTACATCCAGTCTTCAAGAATTTTCCTGTACAACAGAGCCCTGCAGCCTAAATGTATATACACACTTTAAATATTGTCATCATCCCTTTAAGGAAGAAGACTATCATTGTACTAATTAAATATTGTAGTTTAGCGCGAAAAAAAAATAAGGGCTTTATTTGTTTAATTGCTGTAGAAAACCTGCTTTTGTCTGCAGTCATGACTCCAGGCATAGGTTTAAGAGCAATTACTACCAGAGAATTTAAAACCAGAGATTAAAGGATAAAAGCTAGGGAGATCATAATTAACAACAGTTCATTTATTTAAAAGGAGTCAAAGTGATAGAAAAAAATTGTCCCTCATTTGCTGAATAAATGAAATGATTTTCTTCTGCTGACTGGTTAAACTATCTCTCATGATTTGGGACTTGCATCAGAGGCTGTGGCAAGCATTTTGCTAGAAATTCACAGGATGCTTGGCAGGAATAAATAGCCACATTTTTGTAAGAAGCACAAGATTCAGAAAATCCTTTCTTACCATTCTTCACCCTGAGCAATTGAGCTGGAGATTTGAGTGCTAGCCAGCTCTGGCTGCAGCTGGAAGAGCACGAAGAGGTCATTGCACCGCTCTGGCCCCAGTCTCTCCGTCTAGATACAAAGTCATTGGCCTGGAGGAGCGCTAGCTTCCATCCCAAGTTACAGCAGAGGAAGAAAGACACTGTCAGCATTGAGCCAGTTCCAGGTTCTAGTGTGTGGGTGTCAAAGATGCACTTTCCATCTGAGAAGCAACTGAATATGAATAAATACGGGTTGAGGGCAGTGCTGAAAAGCAAATGTTAAGTTGCATCTAAATAAATAGCAGAATTCCTTCTGGAATGAAGACAGGATGATTTTAAATGAGTTAAAGAAAATTAGTAAGTGTGTCTTGGGTTATTCTGCTTTCAAGTACAATAAATTACCAGGAAAGGCCTTGCTGACCACACTAGACAAGGCAGGTTGACACATTACAGCCTGCAAATGCCTTTGCAGTTGGGTGCATCATAGGAATTTGAACATGTTCTTTAAGTAGTTTCAACATTCCCTCCCAGATCTTGCTTATGTAATAAATCTGTGCACGAAACTTGTTTATAATCACGAGTATTGCAGTTAGCTTCATCCTGGTTCCCACCGAGACTGCGGCTGCTAAATCAGGAGGATTTGAATTCAAACCCTGTTGCTCACTTACTTGTCTTAGTAAGGACCCAGAGTCAGGCTGGCTCCCCACTGACTGCCACCTGGAAGGTTTTCTTCCCAGTCCTTAATGTGGAAAGATCTGGAAGGTACACAAACAGGTCACCCCAGTCCTTGGGTCACTTCAAATTTATTGTTTTTTTTATGCACATTTTTTTTTCCACTGGGGAAAAAGCTAATTCTGCTGAATTAGGCCCCTGAGTCATCCATTCAGAGCTCTGTACAGTGGGTATATTTGATTGAGGCAATCAACCAGAAACCTTCAGAGCCTAAAATTTACTGTGCACTTTGCAGTGTAGGCCCACCTGGGGGAGCTGGTACAGATTCTGCTCTCAGTGCTGGGACATGCTGGTGTTCTGGGTTCTACTTTGAGAGGTGAGTTTCTTTATTTCCTGCATGCATCCCTCTGCACACCTGGTTCTGCTGATGTGCTCTTGGAGGTGGAGAGCAGAGTTCTGTTGGGATAGGGCTCCTTAGTACTCAGGTTCTGAGCCTGCCACGAAGCAGCCTCTTCCTCTCCAAGAGCACGTGCCTACAAGGCAGCTCGGACTGGAACCATGACGCTCCGTTATGTCTGCTTCAAACACCGCTGTTAGGTTCTCAACGCTGTCTCACAGAGGCTTCCAGTATCACCTGCAGGTGTCATAAGTCAAACCTCGCTGCCATCGGAGACCTTCTCCCGTGGTCCCACACACACCTGTAGGACAAGGACAGGTGCAGATTGGGCTGCTTCACGTAAGCCGTTTCCATTCCCCTGCCTTAAAAAAGGGAAGCAGGAAGATTTAGGTAAAAGAACTCCATGGAAACTTGTTCCATGTTACCATGACAGGTGATTTATGTTTTGGGAAAACTAATTAAAGAACATTAATCTAGAGACTTGTTCTTGACAAATCAAGCCTCGTGTGTTCTTTTAACAACAGGTTCTACCCTCAAGAAGAAGCCCTACTTATGGACTTTTTAATTTATGTTTGTCTGTTGAGACCTTATTTTTTTTCCTGATGACAATTCATTAGATGGAAAATCATTATGGCAGGCAATTTTTTGAATTTCACACATATGGAATTATCTCACAATTGGAATAACAAAGGCCCTAAGCTAAGCCCATTGAGCGTTTCTTGCAAAATGACAAAAATGTTTCCTTTGTTTAACCATCCTCACTTAGTGCCCCTCTATCTGGAAATGAAGATGATGAGATTTTTCTTTTAAGAATTACCTCTCTAAACACCGATTTCTTTGGAGATCTGAGATTCATCCAATTACATCAGCACCTTCTCCATCACTTGTAGAGACAAAATCTTCCCCATTCAAACAGAAGCAAAATAATGTGCTTGCCAAATGCCTCATCAGCCACCCCTCTCTGTAAGCACTGACAATGGATGTGTACCCCCAAATGAATGATGCATAGAGGGAACTCTGTCTCCTTAATTTAAATCTTGAGGGGAAAACAGAGGGACAATTTGAAGTTTGTGGAAAATAGAACTCAAAGATTGTGAGGTATAAAGATCGTTTTTGCCACAGTATGTATTGCTTGTGAACTTTTTGCATGCATTGGTTTCAAAAACTTCAGCAAGATAACTGTTGGTTGCATTGCCCATGAACCTGAAGTGCCTTCATGTGTGCAAAGCATAAATATATGTCCTCAGCGCCAACAGAAAATGACTTTCTCGGAAATGTCATGAGTCCCCGTGTCATGAGTCCTCGTGTACAGCGAGTTCTTATTTGCAGAAGCTTTTATGTCTTCCTGGGGGCACGTGCAGTTGTGCCCAAGAACATCTCATGAAGAGCTGGTGGGTTTGCTGTTTCTGAATTCCTATCCTTCCCTCTCGCTGAAGCAGCCAGGCAGGCAGAGAGGGAGGTGCAAGGCCACAGCTGCTCCTTCAAAGCTGCCAGGATGATTGTTGGAGAAAACAACAATTGCTGGGCAATAACGTGAGTTTCTCCTCGTGTTGTATTTTTAAGCATCTTCACTGTGGCTGATTCCTAAACTCTGTCATCTCTTTTCCTAAAAGCAGAAAATAGAAACCTTGTTCCCATGGAGAGGGGCCGGCCACGATAAATGATATTTTCATGATATCCTTCGGTGTTAATAGCTCTAGGAAGAGATACACAGCCTGAAGTAGCAGAGCAATTAAAATTGGCTGTTTACGGTGAGCAGGAATGGACCTGTGGACATTTAGAAGACATTTTACTGCCTTCCAGTGCAACACCCATGGGTAGCGGTGTATCGTTGCCGTTGTTGACAATGTCAATTTTAGTAGAGAGCAGATCAGAGACTGTGGTGCTCCCTTGAGGGTTTGGGGTACAGGATACTCCCAGGAGCCTCCTGAGAGCATGCTGAAGCTTGGATGCGTTGCCCGTATGTGTGGCTCTGACAGAAACACTGGTGTCAGCCTGGACACTCCCTGCCGCACTGCATACCAGATGCTGGGTCCCAAATCCAGCTTCCACTTCATCGGCCCACAGTGTCCTCCTGCCCCGACCTGCCACACTTCCCTGACCCCTCCATGCCATTAGGGACTACAGGGAGGGAAGGCAGGCCCTATGAGCTAAGTGAAGTTTGTGAGGTTGGCCCCAGAATGTCCATTGGGTTCAGAAGGTGCTTGCCCTGTTGATGTTATTTCAGGTCACAGCCACCTCCCAATTACCCCTGTCCTGCAGTCAGGCCAAACTCAGGCCATTTTTTTAAAGATTTCATTTTATCTAGGTAGAGAGAAAGAGAAATCTTCCATCTTCTGTTCACTCCTCTAAATGACTGCAACAGCCAACACTAGGACGGGCCAAAACTATGAATGTCTCCCACCTGGGTGCATGGTCCTAAGGGCTTGGACTGTCCTTTGCTGCTTTTCCGGGCTATAAGCGGGGAGCTGAATCAGAAGTGTAGCAGCTAGGATTCGATCCATTACCCGTATGGGACTCCTGCGCATGAGGGTTTGGCTTTACTCACTATACCACAACACCAGCCTAGAAGTGAATTTCCCCTTGAGTCATCTAGGAGCTCACTCTTCTGTCTTCAGGCCCGAGTGTGTTTGGACATTGCAAAGGCTCTTGCCGTCAAGAGCCATGAGCTCCCTGGATCCTCCAGTTCCAACTCTCAGCAGTGGCTGGCAGCCCACACAAAATTCACACCCTGTCTGCTTTCAAAATAGAACAAGGAGCCAGTGTCAGGGAACTGTGTGCCAGCTGTGTGGCTCAGGTGTGTGGCTAAGAGCAGCGGCCACCTCTTCTGCCAAATGCTCTTCACCTGAGAAGCCACTTGTCTGTATCACCACTGATAGACCCGACCTTGCTGGCCCTCAGCTATGACCAGTGTTGACTTTTCGAGACCTGGCACAGCTGTTTTCCTGACTGTTCTGGG